CTGAAATATGTATTTGTTTGAATTCTTGAGATTTATAATGCCTGCTTTTAATTAATCAGTTTTGATGTCCAGGGAAGGTTTAGCACAGACTATCGATATTAAACAATTTACTGCAAGAATAAATGGTGAGGGGGGGGATTGGGGGAAGGAACATGCCCAGGCATACATATCTAGTGCTGTGGAAATGGAGCGATGATATTGGCTTGTGTGGAGTATCTGGAGGAATTGTTACCTGGTAAGACTGTGAGCAATGGTGAAATTAAGGGGGAAGATTTCATCCTGCAGTGGATAGCTCATGGTTGATGATGAATATTAATTAAGGCGGAGTGGAGCACATTTGTGAGCCAAAGATTTGGAGGTGATTTGGTAAATCGGCGAGATAAACCTGATGGCGGTACCCTGGGGTCCCATAAGCCCCCGGCTCTCGCATAAATTGCGTTGCGACGTCATTTCATGTCAGTTGAAGGCGAATGATACGGCAATCTATTCCTTTCGACGAGCTCTACACAATGTGCTAATCAAAGTTTCAAAGTTTGAGTTAACTTGGAAATATAAGGCAATACAACAGAGTCGGCCAACAAAACAGTCAATACCCCACCTAGTTGATTACGTTCTTCCAAAGATTGCTAGCAGAGAGAGACTCACACAGAGACAGAGAGAGACACACACACAGGCACACAGATATGCTTTTATAAATGATAAGAGATACAGGGAGAAATTGGCTGGCTTATAAATGAAGAGGCAAGCAGGTATGCGGAGCTACGTCTCCGAGATAAGTGGACTCGCATTCCCAGTTGATGGCCAATATCTGCTATTGGGGGAACTGCTGCCATCACAGGGGGAAAAGCCAGGGCTATTTAAAACTAGAGGCAGCGGCGAGTGAATGGCGATTTCTGGGTGTGATGACCCCTGCATCACAACAGCGCTCGGCAGCTCACACGGGTCGTCACATTCTCTTGCATCCTGCAGTGGCCCGGGATACGGGTTTGAAGTGTGAACACCCTCTGTGGTCCTTTGAGACACGTCTGAGGGAGAGGTTTTTTTTAACTATTGAAATTGTGTGTTGAAATTGCAGTATTTAAATAGGAGCAGTACAGACGTGTTCTGCTTTGAGTGTAGAACGCAGCGTGGAGGGTTTTGCAATAGCACAGGAATAAGCCGAGCTATTGTCACACCATTATTGCTTCTGTTAAATTGCGACTTGGCATTTGTATTGTACCCTTAAGAATGCAGACATGAAGCCTTTTTTTTATTACCACCAGAATAATGTGATGATAATACGCTGTAATAACACTTCTCCTAATGTGTTTCTCCTTCCACTTTTTATTGACCGATTTAGTGCACACACCAGCATTTTATTAGAGGGTGGGAGGGAATACTAACTATAGGGGGAGGTGGCAGCAGTTCTAGAAGTTGTATAAAGGTGTCTGCCTTTTTGAGATACCAACCAAGGAAACTTCGCAATGATCTGACCTTATAAGAGGGCCTTTAATAACAGCCAAAGAGGGCAGTTCCATGATTTCGGATGTATATTTTGGACACTTTACAGATGCGCGTAATCAATTGGTATAATCATAAAGTGCCTTATTTTATGGGTATAGAATGTCAAACAATTAGGATTGGAATTCAGATAGGAAAAATAAAATCTACCTTTCCCAATAATGGAGAAATACTCATAAATAAAATACCACGGTGTCAACACGTCCCTAGTCAAACTGACTTTTTCACCAACTGGGATTGTGCTGTTACATGCAGTTTCGTGTGCCTGTCCATCCATTGACTAATTTCGTATCTGATCCATATTTTCTAAAATATAGCTAATCACCTTCAAATGGGCACTGTATGATTATTATGATTTATAACTTTTGACTGTGAGCATGCCTAATTTGTAGAGCTTCCCCATAGCTCTTGACAGCTTCAATTAATTTAGCTGCTTCACATTTTTGTTACAGCCGACACAGAACTTTGTACACCTCCCAAACGGTTACTGAATTAAATGCTTAACACTATATACTAAAGATATGGAGCGATGAAATCCATTTATGTGCAGTTGCAAGGTGGATTATTACATCACAGAATTGAGAGATGATGACAGCTCTTGATGACGCCTTCATCGAGCAGTGGATTGAACATGGCTGATGATGTGGACCGTGTCTTAGTTCATTCATCATTATCACGATCCATGGGCAGATAAACCCATAGGTGTATACTGCACATTTCGTCATTTGTTTCCACTTTCCTCTGTCTTGTGCCAAAATGCTCAAGCAGTGCACATCTTTCTGGCACCAATCTCTTGTGATGTCGTCATCAAAGCCATTCTCTTTTCGGCCTTCCTCTATTTCTGGTTCCTTCCATTTTTTCGAACAACACACATTCAATATTCTTGTTGTTTGCCAATCTTATTGTACTATTATAAATAACAAAGGGGAAATTCACCATTGGTACCTCATTTGCCAGTAAAAAATATGATAATTGTTTTTTTACCCTTTTATCTGGCAACAAAACTGACACCTGTTTTACGAGGAGTCATGTTTGCATAGACCACAATACCTGCAGTCATAATGCAAACAAAAAACATAACTCTGATAATGTATGCACTGTCCAAGGACAAAAAAACATAACTCTGATAAAAAACATAACTGATAATGTATGCACTGTCCAAGGACAGTGCATACATTATCAGAGTTATGTTTTTTGTTTGCATTATGACTGCAGGTATTGTGGTCTATGCAAACATGACTCCTCGTAAAACAGGTGTCAGTTTTGTTGCCAGATAAAAGGGTAAAAAAACAATTATCAAAGGGGAAATTATCGAAGGTTCTTGATACAGAATTTCAGGTTTATGATGCAATACTTGATTGGCAAAAGAGAGATAATCTCTCGCATGCAGTTGTTTGTTGAGCTGTACCACAGAGAATTCGTTTTTTACAATTCAAACCGACAAATCCGGTTTTCACGATGCAGGGATTAGCTGCATAAATAACTCTGGGCGATTCGATGTTAGAGATGAAAACTGAAAATCCATTTTGGACTGTCATTTAATCAGCAGTGACTAAAGTACTGTCCCAATCGGTTTTGGCATGAGTTTTTAGCAATTTCACTACCGCTATTTTAAAATGGCCTCTTTTCACGTCATGTTCTCTGCCTCTTCTTTCTTTGAGAACTTTGGGGGCTGATAATGATAAAATGCCTCTCAGGCAGGGTATTTTTGGGGTTTTAACACATTCCTGCGGAGGGAGCTGGTAGGAACGTTGGGTTGCTCGGTCAATGGCCAGGGTCAACGGCGGCGTGGTGTATTCCGAAAATATGGCCGTCTGTGAGCGCGGGCACAAGCCGGCGTGAGTAGGTTAAACGTTGAGTTTTATAAGGGCACCACGGGGTGACCAGCCCCTCCCCACCCAGCCCCACCCCCCACCACCCCTCCCACCCCCACCCAGCCCACCCAGCCCCTCCCCACCCTCCCCTCCCTTCTCCACCCAGCCCCACCCCTCCCATTTTTGAATGCAGGACGGACGGACACAATAATCCCCTGTGGGCTGGTGTAACCAGGAGGTTCCTACCAGTAATATTCCTGGTTGTAAACTTTTAAGAGGTGTTTATGTGTATATATTGTTACAGTTCCATCGATATATTTCATAATGTCTCGTGGTTACATTTTTATGATTTTTGAGGATGCGCGATAAGAGCTTTAGAACCTTACGCTGCGGTGCTGGTGTGGACCATGCTCTACTTGAGGCAACGTCACCACCGTGACCCCTAAATCCCAACCCCCCCCCCCTCCCACGTGTGTGTGCCACGTTCTGAGAATCGGGAGGCAGTTTCGACCAGCACTTTGCCCGAACATACGGTGAGGCTCAATGTGCAATCTTATGCACGTATGTGGCCAAGTGAGTTCCGCTGAAAGTGATTTTTTTTTTTACCGCCAGTGTGCCACGACCCTTTTGCAAGAAAGTATTTTTGGTATGGAATGCAAATACCCTTCTCTACTGTAATGTCTCGGGTATCGTCACAGAAGAGCAACTTTTAACGCCAAACTTTATTGCAGTGTGATTAATTTTGTCAAGGTTACACAAGAGTATCCACGTTCAGGTGTAAGGTGAAATTGCATGTGCAGACTTGTTAGTTCTTCCACTAACCACTTTGGACACACTCAGTAAGGGTGGATGTGAAAGCACCTGCACAGCCTCATTGTGTACAACATTTATCAAGAGTAAAACTGCAGAATCAGAAACTTTATTTTTACTGGAGGAATCTGATGAGCTGTGAAGCTGTTTTTCCACAGATGCCCAGTATTTTCACAGATGTTCAAGACGGTTTTTCCTTGCAATCCAGCTCTGAAACCTTTTGAATGATGGAGGAGAGGTTCTGGCTTGTAAGACCAAAGGCTGAATTTCCATGTGGGTAGCGTGTCATTGAATCAATATGCAATCTGATTTTCCTGTTAACCTCTTCAATCATAATTGCTTAATAATGCCTAGTTTAGATTTGTCGCAGTAGTTTCCATTGTTAATGAAAAGGATCTTATACCATGTATGTATTTAAACTTGTTATATGTTATCTATTTAAATTCAGTGCAATACCAAGTGCCAACTAGATAATTAATTTGCGTCATCTATTACCTCTGTCAAAAGTATGACCATCGTCAGTATATTTACATTAGAATTCTAGTTTGTTAAAAAGAGTATGTAGGTCTGACACATTTTCGAAGTGAAGAAGGCAAAATTACTTTTCTATTGACATCGTACTGCTCTTGCCAGGGAGTGTTAAATGTTGCATATGGTGAACAGACACTGAACTGCTCTTACACATTTGTCTTGATGACTGACCTTTATCGATGGCTCGCAATTTTAATTAATAAATTTTTGTCATTTTAACGATTTTAATTTTCAGGTCTAATTTCATCCCTCGGCAAGACATAAGGAGGCGATTCCATTTTCCCCAAAAGTCCGCCCTCTGTTGTGACGTTTTGTTCACTTGTGCGTCTTGGTGCTGTCGCACAGCTCTGATCGAGTGGCTGAAGGATGAAAAAAGCGGAGCCCCTGTGGCTGCAGGTTCCAGAGAGGGAGGTGCTCAAGGTAAAGCTAGCGCCCGCAGTGGCCTCTGCTGTTGCTGCCTGCCCAGCTCTTCTGCAGATCTTCCAGTCCTGTCCTGCCAACAGCCCTCATCTTCTGCGTCTTCGCAATTAACCTTCCGCATCTCTTGACCTTTGCGTGCAGCAGCGACGTCGAGTGTGGACGACGAACACAGCGAAGCAACGCAAGCTGCGTTTTTTTGAGAGAAAAAAACGTGTAAACAGGGCTCGCACAAAAGCGCTCCATTGCTGGGCGCGTGACGGTGCATCGATTTGCCGACTCAAGCCGACTGTCTGTACTCGTGATGCGCAATGAATCGCAAGAACTGGTTACAAGTGATTGCAGTTTGTGCGAATTACACGATAACGCGAAACATTTTGGCCAACGGACTGGACGAAAATTTACAAACACGAGAGAAAAAAATGACGAGCAATTTGTCGATGCCATTTGTTTTTATTCTATCAATTCAGTACAGCAATTGTAAATTGCTTTCAAAATTCGGGTGTGTCCACTTACTGCGTTGCGGTTTCTGCTTTGTGAATGCAAATGCATGTGGGTTGGTTTCAGGGTACATCCTCTCTCCCTGCTGGTGGTTGGGCCTGTGCTTGCTGCAGGTCCGTGGTTTCAGTTTGTTCTTGCCGTTTCATCTTTCCAACTCGCGGTGTCTGTGGCTTGTTTTCCATTTTCTTCATGTTGGTGAAAATCAGGTTCTTTCAGACTCTGAGAGATTCTCGTTGATTCACGCTTCCTATTCTCTTGCCGAGCGTGATGATGAATCGGTTTATTTGCTGTGATTGTGGTTGTTGTGAAGCGCTGTTGCAGTTGTTTTCTAATAAGGCTGCGGTTGATTATAAACCTTTTGTGTATATGCACTTTGGCGTGATATGCAGGTTTCTATATTTTATGCAGTTTCAGAATTTGTATGACCACTGCCAGCTCAGAGCCAAATCTTTGAATGCGAATCGGTGAATGCATTTTGGTGATCACCTATCAACATATAAGTAGATGAGAAAAATGTAAACCACACATCATTTGTTCGTTCATTTCTCAAGCCGCTGAATGTGAAAACAAATTAACCTGTTAAATTTGCAATGCATTTTCACACATCTTATACAGTTGTAAAGCAACAGATGTCACCAAATGTTTTGTTAAGACATCTGTAGCGTGTGTTAATACTGAGGCGCACACACTATATTGTGGAGGTAACGCGTTTAATAAACAACTTACTGATCACTGGGTTCTATTGGTAAGTGTGGCTAGACTGTCCTAGACTGTTCAATATGTGTGGGTGAGTTGACTATCACCGGATCGGTAGCACACTTGCTACGGACCCACGGTTTCCAGCCTAAACCTACACAAACGAGCCCCGAATCTTGACTTAAAGCTTTCGTGACTGCAGGAATTCATATTCTTTGGGTCTTTCGTTAAAGCTACGTAGATAGGTCAAATAATAAAAAATTATAAAAAAAGAATAACAATATCACGACGTTTCGATCGCAACACAAGCAATCGTCATCAGGTGAGAAATATCACAGCAGCCCGTGATATTTCTCACCTGATGACGATTGCTTGTGTTGTGATCGAAACGTCGTGATATTGTTATTCTTTTAAAAAATTATTTGATCTATCTACGTTACTTTACCGAATGACCCAAAGAATATGAGCCCCGAATCCCCTCAACGCTCCCCCTTTTATCCCCTGGCCGCCCTCGGCTCCGCCCCCTCCTGTATCAAGACCCGAGCTCTCCGCTCCCGGTCACGTGTCCTTTCGTCCTCCAATGGAGGCTTCCGTTTCTCAGCGCCCCTCCAGTTCTGTTATTGGCGCAACAGCATAGAGACCTCGTTATGGGTCTCTACACATCCATTACTATCATTTTGCTCTCAACGAGATGTTTAACGTCCTGATTGACATAAGTCATCGCGGATTGTGCATCAGCGAGACTTACATCATCAACATCCACCATAACCACACATCTGTCAGAGGGACTCAACTGGAAAACACAGCACAAAAACGTGTTTTGAGGATAGCTATTGAAAGCCGACTAGAATCAAAACGATGACATGTAGTCACAGCCGAGGGCTGGGTTGTGGAGGGCTTTTGGGATGCTGAAATTGATCGTTACGAGACCTATATCCGGTCAAAAACTTGCTTTAAAAAACTTAAGTAGCGTTTGGCAAAAGCTATCGAATTTCCACCAGTCCCCGGAGAATGCGTTTGCATTTATTTCAGCACAGCATGCTTCGTGTAATTGAACAAAACATTTAGTGATGCTCCTGTGGTGGCAGTGGTGCCCAAATCATTATAAAAACTCAACACATTCTCGTCAATAGCACTGCCTTGTAAAGAAGACATTTATAATCCACGTCATCTCTCTGGACTTTATATGATTGTGCTATGAAAATGGGTCATTTTCTGAAACGTCACCTATTTTCTTCCGTTTAAGGCCACAGTGTTATTGACAAATGTGTTGAGTTTCTTGTTAGCAGTGTAATTGAAGTGTTGTTCCGTCACCACCTTTTATTTGCCTTATGCCGAAACTGCAAGTGAATCTGTCTTCTCGAATGAAAGGCATTTTTCCAGGTGTCAACACTGGATAAGGAGCTCAGCAGCGGTGTGCGTTGATGCTTTGCTGATAACATCTCACAGCGTAACTGACCTGGTCCCTTCGTATTGAACCCTTACACATTCATGTGCAGTGTTTGCTCTCTCTCATGTTGTTTTTGCGCAGGAGAAGATTTCGAGGCCAGCCCACTGCGGAGGACGTTTAAGTCGAAAGTCCTTGCTCATTATCCGAACAACGTGGAATGGAACCTCTTTGACCAGGATGCAGTTGGCATGGTAAGGCATGGAAAAAACACGAGAAACAAAAAATGCCATTGCAAAACATGCAACGCACAATGCAGTTTTAATTATGAATACAATATCTGGAGGTGAGTGATGCCAATAAAAGCAATGGCTATGGACAATGTCTTTGCGCATACCTTTGTGTTTGTATCTAATTTTATAGATATTGATTTTTTCGTTATAAAACGAAACCTGCATGAATACCCATTGGGGTATGCTTTCAGCCGCTAGAGAATGGCTGTATTTCCTTGCTTACATTATAGGGTGCATTAAAAGTGTGTTAAACTTGAATTACAAATGTTTGTGAGCTAAACGCACATCTGTGAACGTATAACCACAATATATAAATTTATACATGTACTAATATACACGTGGACAGAGCAATGTTCTGCATGCAGTCGAGACTTCTAGGATGTGCACTGAGAAACATACACGTATCAAAACCCAGTAATTATACAACATGAGGACAACGTTGGCATGTGGATGGAACCGTTGGATCAACTATTTACCCAACTTCGATTTAAAGCTTTCGTGACTGCAGGGATTCATCTTCTTGTTTCTTTCGGTAAAGTCACGTAGAAGGGAAGTAATAAAATAATAAAAATAAAACATAATAAAACAATTCTCACGACGTTTCGGCTACAACGCAAGCAGCCGTCTTCAGGTGAAGAATGAGACACTACCAAACTAGGAGCTTATATATAAGCTGCATTGGGGGTTGAAGAGCGCCTTAACAAAAAGAATGTGCATGTGAAGAGGAATTTAGCATATTCATGGAAAATGCGTAGGCGTTGGGCGGGGGGGTGTCAAAGTCATATTATGCCCATGCATTATGCAGGATCAGCAGCAACCAAGGGGGGTGCAGGGATTAGCAGTAACAAAGGAAAGGAATGTTAATGATATGTAGCTGCAGTTACTCAACAACCACGTAGAAAACTAAAGTATAAACTACATAAAAAACTAAAGTATAAACTGCATCGCACCATCAGTATACTTACTATACTCTATAATAAGCTGAGTTACTAACAGCAAGTAATACATTACAATTCTACCTCGTAAAAATTCTATAATATGCTTCCATCTAAACCTTATTCTCTTACATCACACGAGCATATACCGTACTATATACTGCCATAGATAAACCCAACATTAAATTATATACTGTATTGCTGTAAACCAACCTATATCTTATACATTTAATATAACACTATGTATTATTCTACACACCCTAATGTGTATCGAAATGGTTTATTACGTCCTTCCAATGATTGCTGAGCCAGAATCCATCTTCTCGGTTAAAATTGTCTCTGTGTTTGTATATGTGGATCGCCTCATGAACGAATCTCTCATGATAGCCAGATGGCTTGCAGAGAACCTCTGTCTTGGAGAAGTCAATATCATGTGAGCCCACTGAGTTGTAACAGTGATCTGCCACGGCTGAGGTGTTTGTCCTACCGTGTTTCAGGTCAGCTTTATGTTCACGGATGCGGTCCGAGACATGTCGTTTGGTTTCCCCAATGTAACTGCTACCACAGAGGCAACTTAGTTTGTAGACGCCAGGGTACTGTATGTCTGGAACCACATCTTTTACAGACGGTACCAGATCACGGATTTTATGTACTGTGTTGAATCGGACCTGGATCTTGTGTTTAATCAGGATTTTGGAGATCTTTTTTGTGACCCCAGCAATGTAGGGTAAGGTGATGGTCTTGAAAGGCTCCTCAACAGGATCCTTCTTGATGGTTGGAGTGATGGCTTTGCGGATTGTATAGTCGGAGTAACCATTTGCCTTAAGAGCTTGGCGTACGTGTTTGAGTTCACTGGAAATGTGTTCATGGTCGGAGATGCATTGGGCTCTATGATATAGAGTCTTGATGAGGGAATTCTTCTGGGATGGATGGTGGTGGGAATCCGGTTTTAGATAAGCATCCGTGTGGGTGGCTTTCCTGTAGACAGAGTGGCTCATTGAACCATCAGGTCTCCTTTTGATTAGGACATCCAAAAAGGGTAGCTTGCCATTATTTTCGACTTCCATGGTGAATCTGATGGCTGGGTGTATGGAATTGATGTGGTCGAGAAATTGGTCTAGAGCAGGCCGGCCATGTGGCCAGATGACAAAAGTGTCGTCTACGTACCTCTTCCATAAGGTCGGGCGTAGAGTGGCAGTCTGGATAGCGTCCGTCTCAAATTTCTCCATGAAGATGTTGGCTACAACCGGAGATAGGGGGGAGCCCATTGGGGTGCCCTCAATTTGCTTGTAGAAGGTTCCATTCCAGGTGAAGTATGTATTGGTTAAGCAGTGTCTCACCAGGGGGGGTACCCCAGCATTCAGTCCTTGATGAACCAAGTCTTCAATGATTGCGATGGTGTCAGGCACAGGTACCTTGGTGAACAAGGAAACCACATCAAAACTGACAAGCAGGTCGTCTGGGGACAGAGCAATCCCCTTGATTGTCGATACCAGGTCAGTAGAGTTTAGTACTGCAGAGGTGGTTTTTCCAGTGAAAGGCCGTAGGATTTCGGACAAAAAACGAGCCAATTTGTAAGTGGGGGAGTTGATAGTAGAGACAATGGGACGAAGAGGTGTATCTTCTTTATGTATCTTTGGCAAGCCGTACAATCTTGGTGGTCTGGCTGCAGAAGGTTTCAACGAGAACTGTTTGGTCTGATCAATTAATGCGGTTGAAGCAGAAATGATGTTGTTGGTTTTGGAGACGAGGCTGTTGGTGGGGTCTCTTTTTATTTTTGTATAGCTGCCATCGTTTAATAGTTCTTGAATTTTGTTGTTGTATTCTATTTTGTCCATGATGACAGTGGCATTGCCTTTGTCGGCTGAGAGGATGACAATGTCATCCCTCTTTTTTAATTGATTTATTATTTTATTACTTCCCTTCTACGTGACTTTACCGAAAGAAACAAGAAGATGAATCCCTGCAGTCACGAAAGCTTTAAATCGAAATTTAACCGCCTCTACGGGGAGGGTTTCCACATAACTTTGAGATCCTTCAACAAGCTCCGGGATAAGAAGGCTCAGCTAATCGAGTCTCTCACCTTTCTGAAGAGATGCCGCGACTCTAAGGTAATACATTTAGTCGACATAGCGGCAGCTGAAGAGGCAGTCATTTTTTCCACATGTTCCCAATCCGATGTGGACATTGTTACACTCAAAGATAAGTGTGATTTGTAGAGTGTCTTGTCTAACTGATCTAGTTCGGTGCGCGTAAGTCTGATTTTCTCTGAGATAAGAGCTAAGCTAGTTCTAGACAGAATTCGTTTCGCATTAGAAGAAGTTACAGCAGCAGATGTTAGTGTAAATGCGTTTGGTATTACCTTAGAGTCGCGGCATCTCTTCAGAAAGGTGAGAGACTCGATTAGCTGAGCCTTCTTATCCCGGAGCTTGTTGAAGGATCTCAAAGTTATGTGGAAACCCTCCCCGTAGAGGCGGTTAAATTTCGATTTAAAGCTTTCGTGACTGCAGGGATTCATCTTCTTGTTTCTTTCGGTAAAGTCACGTAGAAGGGAAGTAATAAAATAATAAAAAAAAGAGGGATGACATTGTCATCCTCTCAGCCGACAAAGGCAATGCCACTGTCATCATGGACAAAATAGAATACAACAACAAAATTCAAGAACTATTAAACGATGGCAGCTATACAAAAATAAAAAGAGACCCCACCAACAGCCTCGTCTCCAAAACCAACAACATCATTTCTGCTTCAACCGCATTAATTGATCAGACCAAACAGTTCTCGTTGAAACCTTCTGCAGCCAGACCACCAAGATTGTACGGCTTGCCAAAGATACATAAAGAAGATACACCTCTTCGTCCCATTGTCTCTACTATCAACTCCCCCACTTACAAATTGGCTCGTTTTTTGTCCGAAATCCTACGGCCTTTCACTGGAAAAACCACCTCTGCAGTACTAAACTCTACTGACCTGGTATCGACAATCAAGGGGATTGCCCTGTCCCCAGACGACCTGCTTGTCAGTTTTGATGTGGTTTCCTTGTTCACCAAGGTACCTGTGCCTGACACCATCGCAATCATTGAAGACTTGGTTCATCAAGGACTGAATGCTGGGGTACCCCCCCTGGTGAGACACTGCTTAACCAATACATACTTCACCTGGAATGGAACCTTCTACAAGCAAATTGAGGGCACCCCAATGGGCTCCCCCCTATCTCCGGTTGTAGCCAACATCTTCATGGAGAAATTTGAGACGGACGCTATCCAGACTGCCACTCTACGCCCGACCTTATGGAAGAGGTACGTAGACGACACTTTTGTCATCTGGCCACATGGCCGGCCTGCTCTAGACCAATTTCTCGACCACATCAATTCCATACACCCAGCCATCAGATTCACCATGGAAGTCGAAAATAATGGCAAGCTACCCTTTTTGGATGTCCTAATCAAAAGGAGACCTGATGGTTCAATGAGCCACTCTGTCTACAGGAAAGCCACCCACACGGATGCTTATCTAAAACCGGATTCCCACCACCATCCATCCCAGAAGAATTCCCTCATCAAGACTCTATATCATAGAGCCCAATGCATCTCCGACCATGAACACATTTCCAGTGAACTCAAACACGTACGCCAAGCTCTTAAGGCAAATGGTTACTCCGACTATACAATCCGCAAAGCCATCACTCCAACCATCAAGAAGGATCCTGTTGAGGAGCCTTTCAAGACCATCACCTTACCCTACATTGCTGGGGTCACAAAAAAGATCTCCAAAATCCTGATTAAACACAAGATCCAGGTCCGATTCAACACAGTACATAAAATCCGTGATCTGGTACCGTCTGTAAAAGATGTGGTTCCAGACATACAGTACCCTGGCGTCTACAAACTAAGTTGCCTCTGTGGTAGCAGTTACATTGGGGAAACCAAACGACATGTCTCGGACCGCATCCGTGAACATAAAGCTGACCTGAAACACGGTAGGACAAACACCTCAGCCGTGGCAGATCACTGTTACAACTCAGTGGGCTCACATGATATTGACTTCTCCAAGACAGAGGTTCTCTGCAAGCCATCTGGCTATCATGAGAGATTCGTTCATGAGGCGATCCACATATACAAACACAGAGACAATTTTAACCGAGAAGATGGATTCTGGCTCAGCAATCATTGGAAGGACGTAATAAACCATTTCGATACACATTAGGGTGTGTAGAATAATACATAGTGTTATATTAAATGTATAAGATATAGGTTGGTTTACAGCAATACAGTATATAATTTAATGTTGGGTTTATCTATGGCAGTATATAGTACGGTATATGCTCGTGTGATGTAAGAGAATAAGGTTTAGATGGAAGCATATTATAGAATTTTTACGAGGTAGAATTGTAATGTATTACTTGCTGTTAGTAACTCAGCTTATTATAGAGTATAGTAAGTATACTGATGGTGCGATGCAGTTTATACTTTAGTTTTTTATGTAGTTTATACTTTAGTTTTCTACGTGGTTGTTGAGTAACTGCAGCTACATATCATTAACATTCCTTTCCTTTGTTACTGCTAATCCCTGCACCCCCCTTGGTTGCTGCTGATCCTGCATAATGCATGGGCATAATATGACTTTGACACCCCCCCGCCCAACGCCTACGCATTTTCCATGAATATGCTAAATTCCTCTTCACATGCACATTCTTTTTGTTAAGGCGCTCTTCAACCCCCAATGCAGCTTATATATAAGCTCCTAGTTTGGTAGTGTCTCATTCTTCACCTGAAGACGGCTGCTTGCGTTGTAGCCGAAACGTCGTGAGAATTGTTTTATTATGTTTTATTTTTATTATTTTATTACTTCCCTTCTACGTGACTTTACCGAAAGAAACAAGAAGATATTTACCCAACTTTCCATGTTTATTCTGAACCTGTCTCCCACCTGCTCCCAAAATCAAAATATTTAGTGTGGTCCCTGATTTTCATATTAAATCCTACAACTCTGCATTAAATATTTGTTCATTTTTCTTGAGGAATCGGCTTGCATGGCTTTGCCCGGTCTCTTGTGGTAATTAAACCTGTTTAAACCAATTTTGTCTAATTTTAATCGGTTTTATAATCAAATCATATTGTAAGATATGTCTCAGATGCGTTCCTCCAGAGCATGTCTGGTTTATTGAATTAGTCGTAGACGTCATCTTTTATGACGGAGAAATAAATGGCAGATTGGTGTGATTGTTTCTAATGCTACACTGGGGTTAAATCGTGGTAAATATTTTATCAACTGTCATGCGTTGATGAACCACGCGCATTTGTATTCCATTTGTGCACCGCAGACAATTGGGGCAATATGGCCCACAAATTAAATTCCTAAGTATCAAATAATTTATGCGGATGTGTGCTTTCAGGAAGCTAATACATATTTATGCTGCGTCCATGGCAATGGATTTTCTCTCCGCCACAACCTTTCCCTTTTTGCAAAAAAAACCTTCAGAGGCGTTTGCTTTAGCATCATTCTCAATGCTCCAAAACTAAAAAGCAGGTTCTATACATTCATGTTAAGTCGCACTCGTCCTGGTTATTTAAGCGAAGTTGAGCAGTAACGGCACTTCATGGACTGTGTGAAATCCATCCCACGAGAGTGTGTTCTGGTCATAACCCACAAGTGCTGTGTGCGCGCGATTGATTGCTCGGCGTGCTCAGCATGTTAAGGAGGAAATTGCATCAAAGGTTGGAGCTGGGTAAATTGTGGTTGGTCGTTTTTTACAGAATTATCACTTGATTCATTTTAACTTTTTCTCTCATTTTTTTTTTCAAGTGAAGTGCCCTATTTTGCGTGAGCTATTGTTTGTGCTTGAAACAACAGCTGCCCCATGATTTTGATGTTTCTTACAATTATCGTGAATGAATTATTACGTATCGAGATGCAGTCCTCGTGTAGATGTAGCACGAACACTGCCAAGGGCTTGCCGTCAAAATAAGACTGTTAACAAACAATAATCTACAACATATTCTTTGGGTCTTTCGGTAAAGTCACGTAGATTGTTTTTGTTATTTTCTTTAAACCTATCTACGTGACTTTACCAAAAGACCCAAAGAATACGAATTCCTGCAGTCACGAAAGCTTTAAGTCAATAAATAATCTGTAACGTTTCTCACAATGTATGTAAATGTTGAATACACTGTGTAACACAATTTTTGTTCCTGGGTAGTAAGTGTTATTTTGTATTTGCTTTTGCCTAAGAAAGAATAGAAAATGGCTATTATTCCCCACAAACTTTTCTATTGTAACCAGGACAGTGATATCTATAAATTGTAACTATTTTCCATGAGAAAATGGGAGAATTTGTGTCTTTTCGTTCACAGTCAGAAAAAAAACAACATATGAATCAAAATTAACATGTATTTATACGAAAGTAATACAAAAATTACTGCAAAAGATTTAGAAGTGAGTAATTTTTCGAGATTTACGATTATACTCACTTTCACGAATCAGCCCCCAAATGTAGTCTCCCATCATGTTCTTGTTATACTGTCCTTGGTAGCGGCGTTCAAAGTCCAGTATATCCTGGTGGAAGCGCTCGCCTTGCTCCTCCGAGTATGCTCCCACGTTCTCCTTGAATTTAGCAAAATGAGCATCAAGGATGATATGGACTTTGAGGAACATCCTACAGCCCATTATGCCATCGTTCTTCACCAGAGTTTCAACCAGCTCCACATAGTCTTCGACCTTGTGATTGCCCAGGAAGCCATTAACCACTGCGACAAAGCTGTTCCAAGCAGCTTTCTCCTTACTAGTGAGCATCTTGGGGAATTCAATACACTCCAGGATCTTCTTTATCTATGGTCTGACGTAGACACCGGCTTTGACCTTTGCCTCAGACAGCTTAGGGAAGAAGTCTTGAAGGTACTTGAAGGCTGCCGACTCTTTATCTATAGCTCTGACAAATTGTTTCATAAGGCCCAATTTGATGTGCAGTCGTGGCATCAGCACCTTCCGGGGGTCCACTAGTGGCTCCCACTTGACGTTGTTCCTCCCCACAGAGAACGCGGTCCGCTGTGGCCAGTCCCGCCTGTGAGTGCATTGGCAGTGCTACACAAACCAGATAGAGGCTATCATAATTACCACAATCGTGTACATCTCATAAAAAATATACATCTTCTACATGACCTTTAATTCATTTTCTACCCTTTATTCACTCCCCCCCCCCCCCCTCCCACATTTCTGCAGCTGTGCATGCCCCGGGGCCTGTCGTTCCGGACACAGGCCGACAGGCGCGACCCGGAGTTCCACTCGTTCCTTATCACCCGCGAGGACGGCTCGCGCACCTACGGCTTTGCGCTCACCTTCTTCGAGGAGGTGCGCAGCGAGCCGATCCGTGAGGCCATGCAGACGCTGTACGCCATGCACCGCGCCGAGCAGGTGGGCGGAGGTGGGTGCGGAGGCAGCGGCGGCCTCTACGGCGCCCCGTCGCCCGGCTGCAGCTCCGATTCGCTCGTCACGTTGGCGGAGAGCACGAGCAGCGACTTTGGCGACACCGACTCGGCCACCGGACTCTCGACGTCCATCCTCAGGATGCGGCACAGCGCCTCGTACGACAGCTCGCGGGACACCCTCTTCACGTCCAAGTGCATCTGCCTCATCGCGCCGATGCCCTTCGTTCAGGTGGCGCTGCTGCTACACCGCCACGCGGGATCGCTGGCGCGCATGCCCTGTGTTCATACGCCACTTTAAAGTGTAGTTTCAACGTATTTTAAGTCATAGAATATTTCGACTGTCCAATACGTGTGATTAATCTCACGTTACAGTTTCTTCGGAGCCAATCAAATGGCAGGAAGGCAGGCTTTTTCTTAAATGTTTATATCCCACGGCTGGGTAAAGCCCTCCCCCCAGTGTATTTAACTTGTCACGATCCCTTGCCATCAGCTGGATATGAACCGCGGACCTATTTGCTTCGTGCATTCTCCTCACAAACGTGTACGTGCGTACGTCAAACCTCTTGGCGCCAACCATGCCGATCGCTAGTCGCTCACAATCGATGCCTTAATGTCGGCCGGCCCGCGATTGCAGGCGTGCCGCAAGGCGCTGACGCAGCTGCACACGGCGGTGACGTCACCCCAGCCTCCGCCGCTCCCGCTCGAAAGCTACGTGTACAACCTGCTCTACGAGGTGCCCCTGCCGCCACTCGGCCGCTCCCTGCGTTTCTCCTCCGTCTACATGCCCCCCGTGGTGTGCCAGCGGCCCGGCCCCCACGAGCTGCCTCTCTTCGACTACTGCCTGCGCGAGGTCTTCGAGCTGCTGGGCCTGGAGAATGTGGTGCAGCTGTTCACCTGCGCGCTGCTCGAGCACCAGATCCTGCTGCTATCGCGCGGTGAGAACGCAAGAAGTCCGCGCCCAAGCCTACATTATTACACTTGGGGGTGGGGAAGTTATGATCAACTTGAGATATAAGCACACGTAGGATGCACGAAAACACGCCTGGGCCTACTCCCAAGGCGTGCGCTTATATTCATGTTTTTCAGTGTTTAACAAGGTACTGTTATTCCACTTTAATGTACTGTTCTAACGTTTATTTATTGTGGAAAGGTGACTTATATAAACAAAAGAAGGAACGGCAATGAGTTCTCTGATAGCGATGTGTCTCCTGTGATAGCGAATTTGTACGTGGAAAATTTTGAAACAAAAGCAATAGCTTCAAGCACACTAAAACCCTCTGCTTGGTTTAGATATGTGGATGACACATGGGTGGTCTGGCCACACGGCAAAGATACACTTAACGAATTTAGAAATCATCTCAACTCGCAAAACTCATCCATCCATTTCACCATGGAAGTGAAAGTTGACAGAACTCAACCATTTCTGGATATTCTGCTCGGACAGGGTCGAAATGAATAAAATAACACAGCGTTTACCGAAAGAAAACGCATACTGACGCCTATCTGAATGCAAAGTCACACCATCACCCCACACAGAAATCTGCTCTTATCAAGACGCTCATTCATCGAGCTATGAAAGTGAAATTCAACATGTTAAAGAAGCGCTACAAATGAACGGTTACAATGATGCACAAATCAACAGGGCATTGAATGCCAAAACCAAATCAAATAACACGAGAATTGAAACTGCCCAAGTAATTAAAACGTTCAAAATACCGTACATTGCGGCAGTAACTGATAAACTAGTGAGATGTTTGAAAAACAAAACATCCGAGTCAGATTTGGCACGGTACATAAAATACAGAAATTAATATCTGGTACAAAATATGTACTACCGAAGCTATCAACAGAAGATGTGTACAGGATTAACTGCAATTGTCGCAAATGTTAAGTTGGGCAAACAGGACGAATCATCAGCACGAGACTAAAGAAAAAACTTCTTTTGGTTTAAAATATAATGTTAGAATTTGACAGCGATTTTTTTCCTTGCATAATTTAGAATATCTGTGGTCACAATGGATCAGCGGATCACATGCAAAGCAACATTTATGAACATCTAAGTTACAGTCTTGAACACCTCGTGTACCATTCTTTCTTTTATCTATCTCTGCCATTTGTCTGCCCACTCTAGAAATTGGATTATATGCTGTTAACACCTACGGGGTTTAACATGAAAGAAATTGTACCTAACGGTGTAGAATATTGCAACTACTAATGAGCATTTTGGCAGGAATTAGGCCATTTCGTTCAAAATTGATTATGCTCACGATAATCCTTGGTAATGTTAATGTGACTTGTCAGGAGCGCAGTACGGTATATTTCAATGGATAATATCACACTGAGCAGGCGTCCTTAAAGATGTACGTAATGAAGGCAAGGAGCCTGCGTTAACAGTTGCCATATATTATTTATGCCACGGAACAGATGCCAGGTTATGTGAAAATGTTCATACCTATTCTGGCTGCCAATTTATAGTGCAAATAACATGAGGGCTACCTGCTGATAGATGGCAACAGGGAATAATTCATCCGTCTAAAGTTTATTGTTTTAAAAGTGATTTGCATCTGTAATTGTCAGGCACTATTATGAATGTAATTAGCTGCCTCTTTATAGGGTTTCCTTGTGGGCCGCTTAGTTTGTATATCCCCTTCGTATTTGCCCGTTCCGTTTAAGTTTACTCCGCTTTAAATACATTCCGTCAGTTATTTTTGTGGTCTCTTTTATAATGAACAAAAAAAAAACGTAGTACAACTATACTAACCCTGCCATTACAATACTCTGTTCGAGTTTCAAAGTTCATTTCGAAATGCATGTGGAGCATGTGGATATATGAGCTGGATTGAGACACATGGTGCAGTAGTGACTTGTATTCTGGGAAATGCTCAGAGCACAGTTGTCTTACTCCAGGCTTTTAAAACACGTCATTCCCTAAGCGACAACTCTTTCTGGAAATGTGCTGCACTAGGACATGTTAAAAATGCACACAAAAGGACAACGTATTTAGGTCTCAGGCCATCATGAAAAGCGATCCTAAAAAAGAACCCGTCAACCTCCCCAGAGCACACATATAAGCACAGCAGCTTTTTTTTTGGTTACCCCCTTCCAAACTGATGAGGTTTCTTATTGGCTGGGAAGTAGGATGGTGTCTTGGGTCCGTAGATATACAGCCTGAGGCCATTGGCTCGACAGCTAAAAATATGTTCGTGAGGCTTTTTCAAATTCTTTTAGTGTTTGATATACCGGTGGCAAATGTGCTCTTTCCCTGTGGGCAGACTACCAGCGGCTGATGGTGGTGGCAGAGGGCATCATGGTGCTGCTCTTCCCATTCAGCTGGCAGCACGTGTACGTGCCCATCCTGCCGGCATCGCTTCTGCACTTCCTCGACGCTCCCGTACCGTACCTCATGGGGCTGCAGATCGATGGTGAAATGGGCCGCAATGGGCTGGAGCTCCCTCAAGAGGTGCTTGGCTTGTGAGCGCGTGTGATCGTACGTATCGTGGTGGGAGCGCTAGTGCAGCAGTTCAGGCGTGCTGCGCTACGAACCCGGCGATCCGAGTTCGATGCCCGCTCATGGCCACCGACACCAGTGATGATTGTCTGAACCGGTCCTGGGCATCGCCTAAGTTGACTCGGTCTCAAATGAGTACTTGGTGTGGTGTGTAAACATCACCACTTGGGAGACACAGGCTGTCGGGTGTGGTGGTAGCCACCCGCCCGCCCCCTCGTGTACCATGCCGGCCTTCATAGGTACTCACTAACAGGCTATACGGGAGATCTTTGTCTTGTGTACGGAACCCAATATATTTGCCTTCATAGGTGCTCGCTAACAGCACTTTGTCCCAACGGCCTGAAAAGGTTATGGGCTGGTCTTTGTTTTGTGTGCATTACGGTGCGGCTTGCCAACTATGACAGCCTGGCTCGCTCACTTGGCTGTGTTGTGTTGGTTGTTGGACTGCTGTGTTCATAACCTCCCACCTTTCATCAACATGGCTGGCATAATTTTTTAAACATTTGTTGCTACGATCATAGTAAAGCACAATCATATAGCTGTGAATGAGGTTTCTCTTCTTCAATACCGTCCTGCGGATCTGCTACACAGAGTATCTGGAACAAATAGCGCTGGGCCCTGCTCTATGGCCTGCCCACTCGATCAGTAGGGAAATTACTCGCTGATATTTGCTGAGAGCAACTTTGTTTCGAATCTATTTTCATTTCAAGTTAGAAGCGCCCAGTTGGTTTGGAGCTTGATTGGGAACTTTTCCAGTGCCAGGGCCACGAACTAGAATTGGATTGCACATACTCCCATTATTGTCATCATCCACAGAATCAACATTTTATCTACACGTTTTTTCAACACAAGCATCGAATAGGGCAATTTCACAGTTGTGAGCGAGGTTAAAACATGCACGTATGCTAAAACACTGTGTCGGGTAAAGCAGTCCTATCTTTGTTCAGTGCCCCATGAAACAGCAGCGGTACGGTCCGTATGGGACAACAGACTGCAGTGTCACTTGGCCCAAAATAGCATCGTGGGTCCCCCAGGCCTGACTCCCCGTCGCATTGTGCCGGGCGTGCGCAGGCGAGCTTGTGCCTGGTCGACGTTGACAACCGCAGCCTGGAGCTGCCCGAGGAGCTGCCCCAGTTCCCCAACAAGCTCGAGTTTGTCCAGGAGCTCTCCGAGGTGCTGCTACGCTTCGGCGTTCCGCCCGAGGGGAGTCTGCACTGCAGCGACAGCGCCGCTCACCTACGCAGCCTGTCGCTGCTCGGCCAGACTACGACCTCCCCTCCTGCGTTGGGGAACCGCCTGGGAACGCTGCCGACGCTTGGCAACCAGAACCATCTTACGAGCGAGGACCGGCGGAACGGAAACGTGGTGCCAAACCCGCGCGGGATGGAGGAACTGCTGAAGGTTTGCGTTGTTTCTTATTTTGTTGTTTGTCTGTCAAAGCAGAATTTCAGAGTCATCAGGATCTTTACTTATACTGGAAGAATCCGATGAGCTATGAAGCTCTTTTTCACACGTGTCCAGTAGAGGCGGGTCAGAAAGTTACAACAACAAACAATAAAAAAACCGATAAGAGTGCAAGGTATAGGGATGCTAATCAAGTCACTAAATATAAATAAACAAATATATGAGTGCAAATTGCATAAGTACATCAATTCCTGCTGATTTTCCAACAACAAATGAAATCTTGGGCAAGGCAGCAAAACAAAAACAGTCGCAGACCACACCAAGACAACACACAGTCCCTCAGTATGCAGATCGAGATGTCCTGCATGGGAGGCATGGGAGGCATGCTATCATCAGTGAGTGATGGAAATCATGAATATATCAACCGTACGAAAGGGTAGGGTGGGGCGGTGATAAGTGTTTTGTTAGCACACTGCTCTATGAACCTGGCAACCTTCCCCGTGGCCAGCATCAGTAGTGAGCAATATCTGAACCTGCCTTGGTCCCCCCCCCCCTTTGCCAGCCTGCACTGACCAGCGTGGTGAATTATGTTAGAACAACCCCCATGGCCGATTCGGCATGGGGGAGGTCTTCATCCAACATTAGATCGACCAAGGGCCGTCCACGTTTATTTTACAATAGAGCAAAGCCTCTTCCGTCTCCGCTTTCGTTCATTGGACCGAAGGGTCGTGTTCGCTGAACTAAAATTAATGGTCCCATGACGAGTGGCACGATACATTTTTATACTGTGATTAAATACAAACTTTGGTGTTTAAACCCCGATTGCGAGTGACCTGACCGCTTAATGTTCCAGTCTGTTTGGCCACTCTATATGTGCGTTTCAAATGATAACTGCACGAGCCACTTGTGTGCGTGCCTTCTGTGCTCATTGGTTCCATTTTCCTGCAGGGAAACGAAACGCTGGCGCGCGTGCAGGCGATAGCGAAGAGGACTGGGTTGAATTTTGACATTTCTTACTCGCTGAAGCGTCAAGGAAGTGAAAACCGCTTGGAAGGTCGAGGTAACTGTGCAATGCCACCGTATTTCCACTTTCAAGAAGTAACCGGGTGTAGTTTATTTCATTACCGTACGCGACACTGAGCATATTGTTGAGCACGGTCATTTTGTCGGCAAAGCCCTTGTTGTGCCCTCAGAGTACTTTAGCACATGAGCAGTGAGGCTTTAAAATAGTTTTTCATGAACTCGGCTGGAGACACCATATCCTTACCTCAAAATACATAAAGCAGTGTGTGGTCAAAAGGAATTTATTGTCTCTCTTAAAAAAAAACCTCATAACATCTTGACAGATTAATGCAAATGCCCAGTTATTTGTCCCACAGTGAAGTTAAACCATACATACATTTCTATATTTTTTTTAAATGCTTCTTAAAACATCTGTGTTATGCTATTGTGTGTGTTTTCTCGGTTGCGCTCGATAGTTATCCATTGGGGTTTCGGGTCGTGCCCGTGTGCTGTTCGGTATGATGTCCGAACGGAAATTTGCTTCCTGAAGAGGCTCCCCTATAAGTGCGGGATGAAACATCGGACGTCGTGTCGAAATGGCGGACCGCAACAACCCGAAGACAACATCAGAGAGCTATTCGTCGTGTGTCGCCGCGCTATTGTTGACCGATACTTCGGGGTGTGTGGGGACAGGGGAAGGCTTCGACGGTTCGGAGGCAAGCCAAGAGCTGCTAGAGCAGAAGTTGAACATTCACGTGCGGGAGGTCTTCGCCAACCAGTTCACGCAGCTGTTCGCCGACTACGAGGCCTTCGTCATCCAGCCCACGCAGGACATGGAGGCGTGGATCACGAGCAGAGAAAACATGCAGAACTTCGACAAGGTGTGTGCAGCGTCATTGAGCGGTGCCGCGTAGGGCCATAAAGACGAGCGTAGGTCCACGTTGACCATCCTGTTGAGCCAAGTCGGCACACCCAGTGTGACGGGGGTGACATTGTTGTAATGTTACGATTTACATTTTTGGAGTTTTTTTGTTCACTTTACTGTGGTTGCATTTTTATTATCTTAGGGGTCCCACGATGTAATCTCTTTCATTGTGTAAACTAAATCGGATCCTTAAGAAAATCTATTTGTCTTATTGAGTGTATATCTCCACGTGAAATCGTGATAAATTAAGTAAAATATTGAGAATTTCCAAATACTCCATACTATGACGATTCTATAAAATATTTACTCGGTCACTTCATATTATCATTTATGGGATCATTTCTTGATAGGGAATTACAAAATCGCTTTTAATAGAATGTAATGTTTTGAACTTTTATAATGTTACAAAGAACTAAATACTAGTTTTCACTCATTCCACTTGTTACTTTCATGCAAGTAAATTTTTTCTTTACATCCTCAAACTTAAATGAGTACATTGGTCACAACTCTATATCACTCTGCACACTTGTTCATCAACCGCGGGGGGAGGCGTTAAACATATTTGTCGTAAAAATACCGCTGCTTTATACTTCCGGTCGCAGGCTTCGTTCCTGTCGGATCAGCCCGAGCCCTATCTGCCCTTCCTGTCGAGCTTCATCGAGACGCAGATGTTCGCGACGTTCATCGACAACAAGATCCTGGCGCAGTGGGAGGAGAAAGAGTCGCTGCTGCGAGTGTTTGACGCGCGCGTAGGAGAAGATGCGCGTGTACGGCGTGCGGGCGCCACTGCTCCGCACGTCCACCTACCAGAAGTGCACCAGCACTCGGGAGGCAGGTGAAGATGAGTGTCTGGGGAGCAGTGAGCGTGTCGATGTTTACTCGCCGCCACGCCACGTCACGTCACGCAAGAATATTCTGTTAAATTGTCGTCAACGTTCACTTCGGGCTTTGATTGAAGACGGAAGCTTGTGTTACCGCCGAAACGTCGTGATTTTTATTTTATTTTACTTTTGTTAATTTTAATGTTTACCTACGTGACTTTACCGAAAAAACCTAAGAATATGAATCCTTGCAGTCACGAAAGCTTCAAATCTAGAATTGATTGTTGTCACCTTTGCCGCCTTGTTTGTATTGATTGCTTTTTCTTTGTTTGATTGTTATGGTGTGTTTTTTTTTCTCCGTTCCCATCAATTTGACGACATTTTATTTGCATGCTATTTGCTGAAAAGTAAATAATACCTGCCCCCGACGCTTCTTTGTGAACATTTTAGTTCTTTGTTCCTTTTTCTCTGTCGGTGTCCGTTTCGGATCCATACATCACGGCAGGCAACGTACACTGATGTGCCGAGTTGGTGACAATTGCCCTGTTTGCATGTCTGCCTCTACGTAATTGCAGAACAAGCTTTGGAGCAGCGACTTTCAAAGATTGACCACACGGCTGTCCACCCACACCTCCTGGACATGAAGATCGGACAGGGCAAATACGAGCAGGGCTTTTTCCCACGTTTGCAAGCGGAGGTGCTCGCTACCGGACCCACCAGCGAGAAGTACGTTTACGTTTGGCTTCTGTTCAAATGCTTGGGTGTTTTTTGTCAATTTGTATTTCGATCTTCTTTCGCACTGTACGTCGCCAACCATGTTAATCGGATGTGCGACGACTCCGCATTTTCTGTAGTCGCCGTTTTATTCGAGGAGCTCCTGATCTTCCCTGTGCAGATCGTCGAAGAGAAGCTCCTCGGCCCAGTGGAGGAGGCGGGACAGGCTGAGGCAGCACTCGGAACACCTGCAGCTTGACAACGACCAGAGGGAGGTGAGACCCAGAAACCTGCGAAGCCTTCATTTTACTTGTGGATTGCTGCAGTGATATTTCGGATTACGATAATATAGTAATAGTTTGATTTAAGCACACCTTATATATATAAGCATAGTTATAATATGAGCAACACCATGCTTACATTGCACTGGTGCAGAGGGATGTGCAGGATAATTTTTGATGCGAGCATACTTTACCGATTTTGTTTAGTTTGTTGTCCTACTCCCGCACCTCTGATTAGCACGGTTGGATACGTACGGTGCGAAAAAAGTTCAACATGCATTCAACATACATACAAGACAATAATATTTACACCTGGCCGTGCACCCAAGGGATATGCTTATATCCAGCCTCTACTTTATTGTATAAAAATTTCATTTTTTGAAGAAACTACAAATGTGGTTTTTGGTTAAGTTTTATCAATCCATTGAAGAGAAGTCTAGACTGTGGTGGGAGCCCCTTGAGGTGGTACCTCCCGTTTGCTAGAATATATACTTTTATGCTGACATATATGGTGAAAGTTTCGGTAATTTAAACTTCGTAGAGACTACAAATGCTTCTCTGCAAAAGTCAGCCTTTTCCTTGCATGCTAAAATTTCTTTTTTTACATCTTTCATCTTTAAAACATCCAACTTTATTTCTTCCTGCAATTTCCACTTTATCCCTTTTTATTCGTGTGTACGTACCACATATCGCAGCATGCGTTCACACGTGAACTATTTTTGCTTTCTTGAAAAGTGTTCGGTTTGCCCTTTGCTTCATTCTATGCTGCGTGCTCTCTTCATCTCTCCGTTTCTTTTTTGCTTGCACGTGCTTGCATGCTGCCCGTGTGACCTCCTACGAACTACAAAAAAAAAGCGACTGGAGCGCCTTAGGGCTTGCCTAGAGGATGCCCTGACGTGCTTGGAATGGGAACAGGTAGACAGACTAGACGCCCAGTGGGAGTGGGAGGAGTGGGAGAGGCCTGATGGCACTCTGATTCGCCCTCCACAAAAATCCCGCTCAGAGTTCTCGCTGGTAGGTTGTGAGCATTTGTTATGAATGTGTCGGGTGTCGCGTGTTAATGTGCGATGCGGTGGCAAGATGTTAACTACATCGCCTGGTATACAGGAGGTCAAGTTTTCCCAATCCCAACCCCCGATGCCTGTATATTTGGAGTTGGCATGTTCTCCCGTGGTTGCGTGGGGTTTTCTCCGGGCCCTCCGGTTTTTCCCTCTACATTTATAAACATGCATTTAGGGTTTTTGGCTGATATTAATTTTTTCCACGTGATAAGCCACTTCGTTGAGCTATAATTTGTGGCCAGGTTGGTTCTTAAAATAGTTATATAGCTCAGTGGGCCTTACCTTGTAAAATAATAGTAAAAACAAAATAGTCATGGTCAGATACTCGGTGGAAAAATATTTACACTGTCTAATTGTGACATGTTATGTACAGAACAGTTGTCAAAACGTTTGTAGAATAGATATTGTATTGGCTTATTTATAAGAAATGTTCACATCAGTATGGCAGTATACTTATGGGTTAACTCATATTGAGAACTTATTATGTATTCATGCAGGAGGGATCACATGTATTTTTTGTTACTTCCTAAAAAGCGTCACCAACCCAAACCATTTTTAGAAACACCGTTGTATATAGTCACTAAGTTTGACAAGCATTAAATTATCTAAAAAGCATTGTAACATAAAGTAATCATTAAACGTGACATAGAAATGTGCACACCACCCTACACTTAAAAGCATTTCAAAAACGCAGCCTTGAGTTTGCTATGAGTAAGCTCCCCTGGCTGACGCACGGGGTGACACATCTGTCAGCGCTACATCCAGGAGGCACGGAGTCTGGGGAAGAGCGTTCGTCAGCCCAAGCTCTCCGAGCTGTCGCCCTCCGTCATCGCGCAGACCAACTGGAAGTTTGTGGAGGGGCTGCTGAGAGAGTGCCGTCTCAAGGTACGCGGCTCTCCATTACGGCTTCCTCAAGGGGGGGGGGGGGGGGGTCGGTGTTCGACCGGGTAAATTATGCCATCTGCTACTTGTAAGTCTCAGCCTGAGCCAGACTTTGCTTTTAAGAGTGTCTGTGCTGTGTGTTAAAATACCTTGCTGTTGAGAGCCAGGCCTTTGAAAGCCAACCATTTATCCAGGCATGTCAGACTCGTTGATTCATCTTGAGAAGCATTTTATGCAATATTAAAGCAAAACATGTATTGCTCTATATGCATAAGTATAAATTAATAGTTTACATTCTTAATGTCAATCTACTGGTGAAGTCCTCCCCTACGCCATGTCATGTTGTTTAGCCATACTTCACCACGCTGGTCAATACGGGTTGGTGAAGTCGGTGCCCAGACCCAGTTCAAATATCACTCGCTGCCGATGTCAATCGTTGCTCGAAAAATGAACTGTTTGCAAGGTTCACAGCGTAGTGCGATGACAACTGCACCACTGCTGTACCCCCAGTATTAATATATATATGGGATTCTAATTAAGAGAACGTTTCTCAAATTTCGTGCTTTGCTGGGCGAATGAGCAATCTACCACCAGATAGTGTTACAGAAACATTAAAAAAGGGCATTCACACGTAAAGGTATCCCTGGGGAGGCCACTTAACACGTTTCCATAAACCTAAACACAACAACTTAATGAGGAATAAGGGCACGGATCACTTCACCCCAACAGTCAACCAGCCCTCACGGACGATGGCGTTCGCACGGGAGTCTGTTGTCAACAATGTTACAATGCCCGATGGCTGTGCTCCTGCGACGTTCCCTGTGCAGACCAAGCGGATGCTGGTGGAGAAGCTGGGCCACGAGGCGGTGGAGCTGGGCCACGGGGAAGTGAACATCACTGGCCTCGAGGAGAACACGCTGCTTGCCAGCCTCTGTGATCTGCTGGAGAGGATTTGGAGTCATGGCCTGCAGGTCAAACAGGTAATCGTTGGAAACGATTGAGGTTAGGGCAGCATTCTTCGTTGCAGGGCCTGCGGGCCACTGGCGGGCCCCCGGTGGCCTTTAGTGCGGCCCCTAACGTGTGGCCCCCGACAATACACAAATGTGAAAACGCCCCATCGTGCTGTCAAACCCCAATGGTTTCAAATGTGTGGCGGCACTCACACTGATGTCTTATCGACAATAGTGCCCCCCCCCCCCCGCCTTTGAAAATTATTGAAGAACACTGGGTGAGAGAGTAAAGGCGCGCGGCCCTTCATTTGCATGCTCACAGCCACTGTTGACAGGAGGGCTTCCACTAGAGGGAACTCTATATAGCCCCTATAAGAGGGTATCTGGCCTACTTTTCCATGCTGGTGGAATGTTTCGTCATAGAGGTGGGACCAACCAAACCCCACCACACGCAAATTGTTGATCAACTGTGTGGTGCATCCATTTATATCGCCATATAAAAGAATTAGAAATAAATACAGAGTTAGCCATTGTATTAAAGAGTTAGAGAAATAACTCGGCTTACTTGATTCAAAATGTCACATTTTTTACTCATTGAAGTTGAAGTAATCTTCCGTTTTCTGAAAGAGAATTTGCTTCTCCACCAAATTCCACGTTGGCCAATGTGGTGAAGTATAGTCAAAACAATCTCCGCGCATCTGCATGGCGTGGGGGAGGCCCTCCTCACCCCGTGGTGAAACGGACAACAGGGCCGTACAAATCATGGGTATACAAGAATAATATTCACGGTCACAGGATAAAGGGCTAATATCATGGTGATAATTGAACATCAATGACAATTATGTGTGTGCGGCTGCTCGATTTGAACAGGGGAAGTCTGCACTATGGGCTCATCTCCTGCGCTTTCAAGAGAAGGAAGAGAAATTGGAGAGCAATCCTGAGCCCGGCTCAACCGGCTCTGGTGAGCGCACTTCTCGCTCTTGTTGAGAAATGTTCTATTTTTACATGTGCCTGCTGCTGTGACACTGCAGCTGCAGCTGCTGTCATCAGTGTTGTTGTTTTATCCTCAAGTGATTTACTGTTTAATCTGCCGCAGGATTGGTTCCCGGGCATGAAAGAAGAAAATCCGATGCCTCTCCGATTATGCCTCAGCTAAAAGTATCGTTGACGCAAGACATGAGGTGAAGGGCATAGCGTCATGTACACATGTTCACGCAGTTGTGCAACTACAACACGCTATGCGCGTTTATCAGCTTTATCTTAATGTGCTAACTGAAGTTAATCTTTCGAGTCAGTATTGTGTATTTAGAAATTGATTTACAAAGCCTTACCTTGGGTTTCTGCCTCGGTGTGTAATGGTTAGCGGCACATTGGACCAGCAATCTAGAGATCGCCAGTTCGATTCGGTCTCCCAACGTGGCAGTAGAAACATTCAGCAAGTTTCTTAAATCCCACCGCCGAGGTTCACCCAGCAGTGAAAATGGCTCCACTGTTGTTAGTCAATCAGCAGCTCCCACGTGGTGGTGGTGTAAAGTGTGGGTACTCCCACCTCTTCCAAAACACATGATCATCGTGGAAGAGGAGGTAAAATGCCATCTATAAGGGCTCTCTAGAGCTTTCTGCAGTGGAGGCCTTTCCGCCTACAGTGATGTGAACAAGCAATTGCAGGCCTGTGCGTTTACCTTTTGCTATGTTAATGAATTAAGCAAGTATTGTGAATTGAGAACTCATTTCTTTCTAACTGCTTTTTGTGTTAAGTTTGTTGTCCTTCCCCCACATCTCCGATGAGCACGGTTGGCTACGTACGGTCTGAAAAAAGTTCTTCATACATACATTTGGAATTGGATCTACTAGAGACCCTTCCTTACAGTGGTGGTGATGATAACGATGACCTCGTGGATTTGTCCCTCGTCACGTGACCAGCGCGAACAAATGACCGACCTTGAAACACACCCCCTGCAGGCACATTCAGAATATGGGCGAGATACACACTGACGTGGGGAGAGCGAGGGCCTGGGTGCGGCTCGCCATGGAGAAGAAGCAACTCGCGAGGCACCTGAAGCAGCTGCTGTCCGACCAGGAGCTCACCAAGTACGAGTTTGAATTTGCCTTCTCTCCAAACAGCAACGTGTAATTTTCTTCAGGATTTGTGTTTTCCAACAACCTCGAGTAAAAAAAAAAATTCAGCTTTATTTGGGTGCGGCTGCGCGTTTGACGTCGTCACCGACTGTTGCTTAAGGCCCCCGCCCTCCTCCTGCACGGCCTCCGTAGACCGCAAAGGCACACGGGGAAATAGGAATGTCGTTTGCCTTTGTGGTCTACGGAACTGGGTGCGAGGAGTGCGACGCAAAGCAACAACTGGAGATGAAGACACACGCACGCGCGCAGTCGTACCCAAATAAAACATAATTTAGTTTTTCGTGGCTTTTCCTTTTTACACCGCCGCCATGCCCAGAGTCGCAAAGGCCCAAATTTCCAGGCGGGCCAGGAGCGTAAGCGGCACCGTCAAAGTTGCAGGAGATCAGAGTTTACACGATTTCTTGAATTGAGTAACATCATACAAGAGCTCGGGAAAGAGAGACTATGGGAGGGAATTGCGGAGTCGAGCAGCGCGAAGCAGAAGGAGAGAAGCGTTGCGACATGTGTCGTGGTGCTTGACGCAGAATGGATGAGATGAAAATTGTCATTCTGGCAGGCCGAGTCAAACACAGGACAGTATCGCACGTCCGACACTCGTTGGAGACTAAGGCGTAGGGGGATTTGTTGGAAAGGCCGGTTTCCTGAACATCGATAGAAAACGACTGTTGCACGACGTCCAAATACGTTACTGGTCAATTGGAAGGCGCAAATTGCTTAAAATATAGTGACATGCTTTGCGATGCTTTAACAGTAAGCGAATGTAAGCAAGATTAAGAATACATTACTGCGTGCATAAAACGTCGGATGTGTGAACATCTAGTAGAAAATTACGTCAAGCATGCACAAATATTGCACTGGGTGTGGCCGGTTAATTGGTCCTGGTGGATTTATGCTGGTTGGATATGCGACTTTGTACTGCGAGACTGGAGTGGGTGTTCCTGGATGCTTTAAAATTGTCCTTGATTTTCCTGACCTTCAGCCGCGTCGATGGCACGACGAAAGTCCTTTGGGCACGGAATGGACAGGAGAAATGAACGAGCAGATTAATAGTGATTATCGTCGTCGTTCTGTCCATTGATCCAGTCCTTGGCATCTGTCTGTGTTTCCCGCAGGAAACTCTACAAGCGCTATGCCTTCCTTCGGTGCGACGATGAAAAGGAGCAGTTCTTGTATCACCTTTTGTCCTTCACCACCGTCGAGTATTTCTGCTTCACCAATGCCTTCAGCTCCATCGGTAAGCCACAGCCGTGCTTACTTTTAAACTAATTAGGATAGTCATTGTAGGACGATAACTGCACAAGCTTACCTCCATACAACAAGTAACTCTTGACAGCTGTATTTTCAAATGGACTGCCATCTGACAATGTGCTCCTCTAGAGTATTTTGAATTTGGCCTAAAAAACGTTAAATCATTCACCCATTTCAAATGCATGTTTATTCAGAAGGAAACGAAGGTCAAGTGGTTGTGCAGGCGATCACGAGCTGCGCTATGAATCCCAGCCACCTGAGTTTCAATTCTCAACCACAGCTGACGTCAGTCACGAGTGATATGTCAACCGGTCCTGGGCCACCTTCACAAACCCGCATTGATTAGCACGGCGAAGTAAAGGTCAAAACAACCTCACGACTTAACACGTAGGCTTTTTCGACCAATATTTATTCATGATAACGTTTTTTTGGGGAAGATAGCTTAAATGTAAATGTGTTGTAAACCCACCTCCAAATTGTAAATGTTGTGGGTTTGCTCTCTTAACACACAACCCGTGTGCTGAAGTGGAAACAAATCTGCACGTTTTGAGAACGTGGCAAACCTTCACTAATTGGCTGTGTCGAGTGGAGGTGGGTTTATGACACATTTACATTTACTTGATCAAGCCCAAACAACGTTATCATGACCCCCACAACTGACACAGTGTGGGGAAGTCTACATCCAGCAGTGCATTGATTGACAAAGGCCTGCAAGTTACAAAGGAAATATTTCACGTACGTGGAAGCGCTTTATTTATTTATATTTAGTGACCTGCTTACCTTTTCTTTTTTGCACTCCTATCGTTTTTTTTTTATCGTCTGCTGTTGCAACTCGCTGACCTGCCTACATACTGCAAATCCGTGAAAAAAAGAGCTTCACGGCTCATCGGATTCCTCCAAGTCTAAATAAAGATTCTGATTTAGTATTTCATGTTGACAAATGATGGCGATGCCTCGTAACCTCCCCGTGTGCCTACCGCCCCCCCCCCCGCCCCCACCATCCTGCACTCGTGCGCTTTGCAGTGATGCCGTACCGCGTGCTCATCGTGCCCAGCAAGAAACTGGGAGGCTCCCTCACCACGGCCAACCCGTGGATCTGTGTATCTGGGGAACAGGGAGAGACGGGAGTCATGCCTGTGCCGAAAAACGTGCTTGAGATGACATTTGAGGTAAATGACCTTTTTGAGGGGAATGACCTTTAAAATCGACAGAAGAGAGAGAGAAAAACAAGTGCGAGTAATTCTTTTTTTCTTTTCATACCACTAGAATAAGGTTGGTGTGTTAAATAGGTAGTATATATATGCTGTTGTGTACCAAAAGGCACCATTTATAGAAATAATTTCACATTGGTAGGTACTTTGCCTTTGAAAAAATTGCCCAATGTCATATTGGACCTGGCGCAGAATTGAGCCTGGTTAGTATTTGTATAGGAGGATGCGTGAAAATACTCGGTGTTTGTTTGTGTAGCTTCAAGATGGCCAGGTGTTTGTAGTACTGTGATGGATTCTTTAATCTGTATAAAATATTTAAGTGTTACCTCATTGTTTGTGTGGATACTTTTGTTTACTGCCACATGCCAAACGGTCATGAATGGAAACCCTCACCGAGTCTGAAGACGTTGTGATGATTTCATGGAAGGGTGTAACAATGCATCAATCGAAAATTCTCAATTATCGTAACTCACAATACATGCATTGAATCGCACTCATACGAATTCACTTAAATTTTTTTTTTGCAAATGCTAAGCAAGTGTTATGTTTGACGCTCCTGGAGCAAGTAAAACTGTACAAATGAGATTGAAAAGAAATGTAAACGATACGCAAAATTATTGATTTTCATCAATCTAACTGGCCCTGCATTGCGATGTTTCAGTCGGATCGCCAGGGTTGGGGGCTGCGTGTACGTTGGAGGAATTCTTACACCCATACTTTCGTTAAAAAAATAATTGCCATTGTTATTAATGTGAAACAGCAGAATGCTTTTCATTACTTTCAATTCTGTAATTTCCTTCAAATTGCTGTCAACTTTGATGCCTCACAGTGCCCGAATCTGGGGAAGCTGACGACCCTGCAGATCGGTCACGACAATGCCGGGCTCATGGCAAAGTGGTTGGTGGACTGCGTCCTTGTACGGAACGAGATTACCAGCCACACGTACAGGTCAGAAAACAAAGGTTTACGATTCAACCCAAACCCACATTCCAGCCACTGACCCTGAAGTGGGGTTCGTGTTTTGAGGATCTTGGCAGGGGGGGGGGGGAGTTGCGGAGAATTCAGAGCGAAACAAAAATATTTTGTATTTTACCAGGTCAGGTCCACTGAGCTATGTAGCTCTTTTTCAAAAGTGACCTGGCCACAAATGATAGCTCAACGAAGTGGCTTATCACGTGGACATTTCTAGCAGCCGAATAAATACCTTAAACGCATGTTGATTATAAATGCGGAGAGAAAAACTCCGAGGACCCTGGAAGAATAATCTACACGACCACGGGGAGAACAAAGAATGTGGTCTTGAGTTGATTTGGGATACGAACCCACGACCTCCTACACGCCAGGCGAGGAAGTTAACATTTCGCCACTGCGGCGTCCCTCTGCTGTGCGTGCCGGTAGGTTCCCTTGCGGCCGGTGGCTGGGCCGTGGTGTGGATGACGGCAGCTTGGAGAGGATACTGGTCGGGGAGCTGGTGACAGTGGACGGTTCGGCAGAGGACATCACGCGAAACAATCGCGCAACCTCTCCTCAGAACCCCCTGCCCATGCCGAGCAGGAAGATGGGCATCGCAAACAAATTCAGTGCGTTTCGTGCTCTTTTTTTTTTTGATCGGTGGAGACAAGTTGATGAAATTCGTTTAGAGCCCTTGAAAAAAATCGGTGGGCTTTTGTGAGCACACTTCGCGCTACAGCGTGTGGTGGCCGATGGACGAGACTAGGAAAGGAATGGCAGCCAAAGAAGTGTGCCTCCTCAGAGGAGGGGGTGATTGCTGTGGTGATGGAGTCGTGTAAACAGTGCCAGATGCAGCAGTGAGATGGATTGTGGAATCCCCAGGACCATGAGAGATTGTAACGGCATAGAGAGGCCTTCATCCAGCAGTGGATTGGCTGTTGGGAATGATAATGAATAGCCCATTGAGACTACCAATATTTTATTCTAAGGGTAAGCTGGGTTTTAAAAATATTCTCTTCAAATGATAATTAGTTTGAAGAGCTATATTTAGCTGCCTAACTGATAAAATAATTTATGTTATATCTGGGCTTAATAGAGTCTAAACATAATGCAATAATGAGTCTGACAGCTTTAGATATATACTGCACTGTTACGTAAAACAAAATTGTGAGTCGTTGTATATTTATGTCTTAACTTCGATTGTATCTATAAATAGCGCATACATAAATGCCACCTGATACGAAAAGAAATGCATCACCCCCATGTTTGTGACGACTTCGATTTATTTTTCATTGATCTTTACCATATTCTCTGGATTATAGGACACTCTACAAAGTACGATGCATCCCAAACTTGTGCCCATTGTACGTGAAGTTCTACAAATCTGGTCACAGGCACAAACACTTGGTAAGACGCACTCCCAACTTGTGCGTTAAAATCAGCGCTGGGGGCGGGGGGGTGTCCCTTGTAATCCAGGAGAATACGGTACGAATGTAATAATTAAATTAAATTAACACAGCGTGTGTATTCCTTGTTTCGTGTTTGCAATGTGTACTCGTATCTTTTGTTCGTTTTACGTCTCAATAGTTTCAAATATTCCACCAACAGAGTTGGACACAGGCCAAATACAGGAGGCTGTTGGAGAAGCAGTTAACAGCCTCGTAAAACACTTCCACAAGCCAGAGAGAGAGGTGAGCAAATATCAAATGAGGGGGGGGGGAAGGGACATCTATACTAAATCACTCTGAGAAAATAACCTGCTTCAGTAATATGTCTGGGAGCCCCCAGTGGTGGATATTTCCAGGGCCACAAAATCCATAAGTTGGCCCCCGAGTGGAAGAGTGAATGTCTCAGTGATGTACGTCTGTCTATGTGTGCCATTCTCAGAGGGGCAGTCTCACTCCACTGCTGTGTGGAGAAGGAGGCCTGGTCTCTGCCCTCGAGCAGGTTTTTCACCACGGCTTCAAGTCTTCTCGTCTCTTCCAGAGAACCGTTTTTCTCTGGGACCTCCTGGGTAAGTAAAGCATTCTGGGGGGTAAAAACAAACACTGGCAGCATTTTTGAGTAATTGGTCAGCTTTGGCCGTAATTCCAGTGCTTAGACTATGATCTTGTGGGAGTGGTGCGCACAGCATCCGTCTGTCTGCCCCCACGCGTGAGCAGGCATTGTTCTTAGCAGAATAATTTCGCCTGAGCATATTTATCATGAGCCCGGGGTTACATTTTTAACCAGTTGACATTGCATTCAGAAGTGACCTCGCTCACTACCAATCCACCAAGTTATATGGGAAATTAAATATATAGTAATATAAATGAAGCTGCTCATTTAAAAGCTGTCTTAATTAAAATAGCAGCAACAATATTGAAACCTCCATAATAGGGTTTTTTTTTGTTAGATCGTGTAAATATATAATTGTGTCGTTAAAACCCGCCACCACCCGACACAGCCAACTAGTAAGGGTTGTCACGTAAACAGAACATGCCAATTCGTCACTAGTACAGCACACCGGTGTGTTGGAGAGCCAAGCCACAACATTTACAAACTGAGTACGACGTTTCGCCAGTAATTTAAATTAGCTTCATCTTTGTTCATCTTTTTATTTTTTTACTCGAGCATAGTTATCGAGTGTGCAGGCAATAATGATACACGGGGGGCCCATTCTTCATCCACACTGACCAGCTTGGTAAAAATATGTTACATTTGCCTACATGCAGCAGTGAATTGACAGAGCCACGTAAATTATTATCATTATAGTAGAATAAACCCAAGGATAGAGGATGAGTTATGAAGGGTGGGGGCACGAATTTTGACAGTTGAATGGGACCTCCTGTTAGGGTCCTATGCCAACCCCACTATGCCACTGCTACAGCATTACGACTTTGTCAATGCTGCTACACCGTACGGCATTGTCGCTGGCGATATGTTAACTACCTTGCCTGGTATACAGAAGGTAGTGGGTTCGATCCCGACCCTAACGATGCCTGCTGTATATGTGAGTTTGCAGTGTCTCTCTCTCTCTCTCCCCTGTGGTCAGCGTGGATTTTTCTCCGGATCCTCCGGTTTTTCCCTCCACATTTAGAAGCACGCTTTTAGACTTTGGCTGCTATAACATTTCCACGTGATAAGCCACGTCATGGGCCTGTCATTTGTGGTCAGGTCCCTTCTGAAAAAGAACTGTACAGCTCAGTGGGCCTTAACTGGTGAAATAAAAATTAAATATATATAGTTTAGTTTCGTCTTCTTGGTTCTTTTGGTAAAGTCACGTAGAATGGAAATAAGTAAATAAAAAAAATAGAACAATTTTTTAATAATTTCATTTGGTTTTATTTTTATTATTTTATTATTTCCATTCTACGTGACTTTACCGAACGAACCAAGAAGATGAATCCCTGCAGTCACGAAAGCTTTAAATCGAAGTTTAGTTTCGATCGGACGCCTGGTGGTGTTGTCGCTAACAGAGAAGTATGCGTTCACCTGGAGAGCCTGGGGGATGGGGACGGCATCCAGGAAGAGCCCACGCCCGTGCGCAACAGTCGCAGCGGATTCTGCCGCATCGTCAACTCCATCAACACCTCGCGGCGCAACATCGGCAAGGACGACAAGTTTCAGCTACTCATCTGCCTGGGGGCCAGGTAGTGACGCGGCTGCGGCCGCAAGTGGAGCTTTGCCAACACTTGAATAGCCCGTTGCAAAAACAGGACTGAGTAAGCGTTGACTTTTCCCTATTGTTACAGACACCGATGTGTATTTGGACATCTGTGCGTATACATGTTCTTGTTGAACACCTAGGCTTTCGCCACCAAGATTATCCATAAGAGGTTTTTGGGTTATGCGATCTAACCCAAAAACCTCTTAGGAACATGTTCTTGTATCAATTATTATGGACCACAATGTGCATTTATACATTGGCTTGCGTATATTTGGTTTTCATCATTACACACGCAAGTTATTTTTTGCTTGTATAATTACGTAAAAAAAGTGCATTTATGCATCCGCTCATGTACATTCGCTTGCATTCGTTATTACTTTGACTAATGTGTGTGTGTGTATATGTGCGTGTGTGCGTGGGGAGCGGTAGTGTCGCGGTTAGCGCGCTGCGCTACAAACCTGGCGACCCGGGTTCGATTCCCGCTCACGGCCAACATCAGTGACGATTATTTGAACCGGCCCTAGGCCTTCCCTAGGTCGACTCAGCCTCAAATGAGTACCTGGTGCAATGTGTAAACATCGCCACTAGGGAGACAAAGGCGGCCGGGCGTGGTGTCGGCCACCCACCCTCTCGTGTGTTGTGCAGGCTTTCATAGGTGCTCGCGAACAACACTAGCCCCAACAGTCTGCTAAGGCGATACGGGGGATCTTTGTCTTTGTGCGCGTGTGCACTCAGGGACCACCAGCTGCACCGGTGGCTTCCCCTGATTGTGTCAAGCCCGGCGACGATGCAGCTGTACGAGGAGTGCGCGATGCTGCGCGACCACTCGTTTGTCAACGCGCTCATCCGCGTCTTGCAGAGCCTCCAGGAGTTCAACATCAACCTGGAAGCGTCGCTCACCAAGGGGCTGGAGCTCTGACGGCAACCGCATCCTCTGAACAGCGTTTCATTCATTTCCCAGAATTAAGAAAACCGTTTTACGGTTAAAAGAAAGTTTGAATTCAGGTAAACGTGTACAGCTTTTTTTTCCCGTCTAATTTTTTACATTTACGCTGAAAATGAATTAAGGTTGATTCAACGAGAAGACCCTTGGCATTCGCGGTTTGTGTTGGGCTTGCCCACCTGCCCCTCTTCCCCATCACATTATTTAGTTCAGAGAAGACTTGAGTTTATTTATGATACAAAGAGATTGTGTGTTATGCTAGGTCTGTGAGAAATCCACACCTGCCATGTGCTTGCTTGATCATCTGGCTGATGAAGATGCACAATCTTTAAATGAAACTGATGGGGTCTGTGTGGTCCCCCTGGGCTGCCTGACCAATTGTGCGTGAATCATCATACTGTATTGCGAAACTGTACATCTCACTTTAATGCTTTTCCTTTCCGATGACGTAGGTGTACGTACGTTTTTTCTTACGCTTCCGTTCCGATTCCGTTCCGATTATACGTTTACGTCATCGGAACGGAATCGATTCTGAACTGAAATCGATTCCGATTCTTAACTGAAATCGATTCCGATTCAGAATCGTAAGTAAAAGACCATTCGGAAGGGGCGTATTCTTAGGTTTTTTCGGTAAAGTCACGTGACTTTACCGAAAAACCTAAGAATATGAATCCTTTCAGTCACGAAAGCTTCAAATCTAGAATTAACGGAAGGGGCGTGTGGCACAGTTTGGTACCAGCTATCATAGAGTGCGGTCCTGTCGCTCCGTTAACCGTTTGCACGTTCTGAGATTTAGTGGTGAACGGGACACCCACCCTGCAACTTGCAGACGTCTCGGAACGGGAGAAGGGTTAATTGCAAATTAGGAGCAGGCTTTGAGGGTGGGGTGGTGGTTGTGAGTGTAATGCATTGCAGTGCAGGGTCAGTCATGTACGAATCAAAGGATTACAAACTTAAGAAATTAGAGGTGGTGTGGGGGGTTTGTAAATGCACTTCTGAAGTGATGTCAGGACACTGTAAACATACTCTCCCCCAAGAAAACCACTTCATGCCGCTGCAGCGTTACACCCGCATCACTGGCCCTCAACGCTCTGTGGCTCAATGTATTCCAGAATCAGAAATTAGCAAGTCTGCATTCCAGCGTGTTTTGTTAACGAATACAAAAAAAATGTATAGGCGACGTATTGGTTATCGATCTCTCGCATCACGTGGGAAAGGATGATCAAATTTAATTCCTTCACCAAAACAAAGGGGGGAACTTGCAGTATATATGAAATAAAAACAGGTGAATCATTACAGAATGTAACAAATGTATGACGACGCTAATCCACGTGTAATGTTATTGTTTAGGCTTTCAAGCAGTGTTATTTTCATGTTTTGTTTACAAGAGATGGATGTCACTTAAGTCTTGTTCATCCAGGTATAATCAACAAGTGCTGCCGGAGAAATCCCGCCAGCCCATTGCTGTTCTCGTAAAACAAGTCAATCAAATTTGAGACTGATTTAAGCCATGTGTACTTTAAGCTATACCTTTGCAGTAATCTGTGTAAAATACATTTACGTAATTTCCTAAAGCGAAATCAAAAGACAATTCCCCCCCCCTCCACCCCATTATTTAATTCTAAGCAATGCAAATGTGAACCTTGTGTAGTCATTTGCTATAACGCAAATGCCGTGTACCCATAACCCCTTGAACAGTTATAAGCTTTATTGAATGTAACAGTAACAAGTACACATCTGCCAGCTTAGTTTTATACATGAACAAAATTGTACAACATGTAACTTATTCAAAACTAGGTTTTCGTCCATGTAGGAATCGGTACCTGTTTAAAAAAACACGTCTGCTGTAACTTTGCGATTTATTTTTTTTGTCTTGCAAGAAATTTTGCCGTCTGCCTGTTCCTTTTGTGTGTTGTGAAATTGTCAAGAGTGCTTCGTTTAATTTAAGCTGTTTAGTTTGAAATAAAAAACTTTGCAACTTGAATGATTTGTTTTCATAACTGGGGTTGTTGCTATAAAATTAAATCGCATCATTCAAGAAATTTTATACCGTGACTTTACCGAAAGAACCACAGAGTATATGGATCCCTGCAGTCACGAAAACTTCAAATCTAGATTGAATGGGGTTATTGCATTGTGGAGCTGTTATTTTGCATCGCAAACATCCACTGTTATATATTTATCGAAGTGTAAAATGGGTAGTAGATTTGGACACGTTAAGCTTTTGCAGTTTAACCAAAAACGATTGGTATTTGAGAGCACATTACTGTGCTCCTTCAAACATTTGTAATTATCACCATCAGTCACTTAATCATGGAAGTGCAAATGTTTTTTCCATCTGCATGTCTGCCACTGATGTTCCTGTCCAAGACTCTTTGTTCATCATCCAGCTCGTCTTTGACCAACCAATCTTCATCCTTTTGACTGGGACCTGCAGGGAAATCCCTCCAGTCTTCAAGTGCCAAGCCATTGCAACTTTCCTCTTTACTACTGCCAGGAGTGGTTCACGTACCCCAATCTTTTTCGTCCACATGAATCGACAGTTTTGTACGATTGGCAGTGTGTAATTTAATATCCACGATTCAGTGTTCAACAACTACAAGCGCATCATGGAAAACTAATACATTAAATACGGTAATTGCTTTCACAAATGTATTGAATTGGCCCTCTTCGGTCTGATGCCAAAGCCTGAGGGTTAGATTTGCAGAAAACTGATCACCACACCAACACAGGTGTATCATGGCAAAGGCTTTCTCTTTACTCCCTCGTCCATGAACCCTTATCGTTGCTGTTTATAGATTTGAGTCCAACTGGAGTGCAGATGCCCAGTCTGGCAGCTGTTTTGAAAGGCAATGAAAAAAACGAGGCTTTACCCGTTCTGGCACTAAAACAGGTGTTAAGATGTTAAAACACAAATTAGATATCTATTGCAAAACAGGTCTGCAATAACCACATACTTGTGGCGAAACTTGCAAACTTACATGCTCTAATAATAATATGCATTCTTTGAAAATGGCCTACACCAGAGACAGCCTTGTCTCATCATGTATTAAACCGGAGAAAGCCAAAAGGTGAACATCACAACAGTAATGCAATTATCAAAGCATTAATAACTCGTGTTGAGAAGTTATATCTTTGACAGCTTTTTGGAAAGGCTTTCCCAGGACTCTAATGGCACCATTCTTCAGATATCTCTTTGGGCCTTATGGGGCTGCAGTGTCTCGTCACCATTTTGTGCCCATTGGCCACGGTATGCATGTGCAGCGAAGGCTGCTATTTGGAGGGACCGTGCTTCACATAATTATAAAGACCCCGTGCAAATCTCATTAATGACACAAAGTGCAATTTCCATACTTGTAAATGGTAAGTCAGCTCATTCATTTGGTATTAAGTTAAGGGATCCAACCTTTCCTAAAATGTATCATTAACCACTCAATTGTTAGGAAAACCTGTTACAACTTGAAAAGTGGCACACAATCTCCAGCAATCCTGTGCTAATCTGCCTTTACAGCAACTAGTACTGTATAAAACGAAATAAATTCGCAATTAATAGAAGTCATATGGTGTCGAAGAGTCGTTTAATGGGTGAATTTGGCTGGTATGAGCTAGTCCACTGCACCGTTTCAATGGAATATTGAATGCACGCATTTAAAAAAAAAACCGTCTATGCAAGATGACCAAAGAAACAGGCCTCCATTGCCCACGTGATTTCAGGAGCCGTGGACAGTTACATCTGACGAGTCGACAGTGTTTGTCCTGTGGGTAGATCAACCCCTTCCAGAGGAATGAGGATTATTCCACCACTGGCTCAGGGCTGTCAACGGGATATGAACACTACCCCCAAAAGGCTCATCGGAGCAGTAAAAATCACATTGATGTTGACCCTAATTTGTGAAGGAATAAGCTGCCATCTCAAAAAATAGTTCTCGTTAAAATGCAGTTCGAGCCATTCAAGAGCCAACCGATTAGCACGGCTGGCTACGTACCGTGCGAAAGATGTCAACATACAAACACACTACATTGCCAACATTAACCATTTGTTAGAAAAAGGTATCCTTTCAATGCAGCCATCTTAGCAACAAAATCACTTTCACCCATATTGCTACTGAACGTATTTATTTGAACGCAAAAATGTACAAGGCTTAGCACATGACCGTCCGCCAAGTGTTATGCAGTTTACTTAATTTTTTTTGGCAACCTCAGGCACAAACTCCAAGTGCAAACATTTAAACAAAAATAGTGCAAAGATGACAGCCCAAATCGGCAGCGGGCAGCCGAAATCTGCAGCGAACAGCACAGCAAGTAGGGAATGTAGGCGACCATTTCAGCACAATCTGAATTTATCGCAGCCATGTAATGCATGAGGCTGCACTTGAGTCAGTATTCCAAAAAAAGGTCACACGAGTAAACTGCCATTTGCATTATTAATAATTGCGTTGCTCCGAAAGTGTTACACACATTCAGTTAAAGTGCAAATGGGAACGGTTGAGTTACAATTAATTGCAAACCTCATGACAAGAAAAACATTCATACCTGTCAACCCATAATGGTTTACCCATACTCTTGCATAGGGAAAGAGTTCAGGTCCATACAGCGAAAAACAGTTTTAATACAGGCAAAAACAATTTTTTGTCCGTTTGTATTTCTCCCTTGCGATGGTATTTGTAGGATGAACGTTGACATTTATAAGGGCACGGGAGACCAATAAGGTCTGAATTAATCTGTAATAAAAGTAGGCACTGATAAGGGGTTGACAGGTATGCAGACTGGAACACTGCTTTGGACTATTAAACGTGCGAGGGTCAAGCAAATTAAATGCATTCGCATCTAAATGGTTGTACACATCTATTTAAATTAACTCCCTCATTAAATCATGGAAACGAATTCAAATACGACAGTAAAAAAAAAACCACGCTGGACAGATAACTACCCTCTTTTTTTTTAAAGCAAGGAAGACGGTCTAAAAATATATATAAACAACCGAGGGCCGGCACATTGAATAAACGGAACAGAAACACGGACTTAAACGAAGTGTAAAAAAATTAGTACGAATGAATACATCGCAATCTGTGATCCTCGTGAGAAATGCAGATTTGAACACAAGCCTGAGAGAATTCATGGGCCCTGCCATGAGGTGGGGGGGGAGGGGGCAGGTGTCAGGGTGGGACATGGCCATCATCAGTCCAAATACAGCAGGTATCCGGAGAACGTCGAGTACTTCCAGCTGCTCCCGTAGATCGTGCCGCGGTGGACGCGCAGCCAAATGTTGTCGCCCGTCACCAGCTGCAGCACGGCGTGGTTGCTCGCCGTTTCGTGGTCGGGGGCGCCGTCGTTGGCGTAGGCGGACACGAGCACCTCGTCGTTGCGCATCAGGTTAATGTAGAGCGGCACGTTGACGGCCAGCTTGAGGATGTGGAAGATGAACACGTAGGTGCCGTTGGAGGGGCACAGGAAGCGGCCCGTTGTCACGTCGAACGCCTCGCCCAGGTTGCTGATGATGAGGTCGAAGACGATCGGCTGGTCGAGAATGCCCGGCGTGAAGTTGACGGTGCGCGCGGCCGAGAAGGCGACGCGCACCGTCTGCTGCGGGAGAGGGTACATGTTGACGGGCATCATGGTGGCCGGCTGGCCCACCACCTGCACGTCCACAGGGGTGACGCTGCGAGAGTCGCCCCGGCCGGAATCGTTGCTGTTGAAGGTGCCGCTCACCCGCTCGGGGCTGCTCTGCTGGGACGAGTCGCTCCAGCCTTCGCCGTGGGAGACAAGGGGGGTGGGGAATATCGTCACGACGACGAATGGGCAGATTGCACTCGCACAGCTCTTGAGCCCGGCTTTCCACTGGTACGTTCAAGCTGCGCCGCTTTCATTCCCAAACCGTTTCAGGCCACGTTTTTCCACTGCAGCATACTAGCCGCGCCGCAGACGTCAAATTGTGTGACGTCGAGGCGCATATAGGTGATGTCACGATTCCCACGTTCAGTCTTCAGGAGTGTGCGGACCAACATCAAGGAGCGCATCTCATTGGGCCCCATTCCCTGGCCCTGCTTTGGTTCCAACTCGGCACGACAAATAGCCAGTGCAAAAAACACATATACAGTATCCCGAATCCCCGCGCTGGCTCTCACATGCCAATAGAATAGGGGCATTGCCGTGCACCGTGAGATAAATATAATATAGCAACGTGCAATACAAATTATGTTGGGAGGACACTCCGAGCGACAGCATGACGACCAATGGCTGAGACTGGTGACAGAATCGCAAACAAAGGAGAGAACGTGTCCAAGAGCAAGACTGCCAGGAGTAATAACGAATGGTAGCAGCGCTGGAGCAGAGGAATGGCGACGACACTGGGATGGCATTCATCCAGCAGTGGATAAGACGACGACGATGAAATTAAAGTGTTAGAATGACTGGGCCTCACCGCTCCGTAATCCGCCGTGCATCGTGCTTGCCACTCTTCGATATCCGTGCTGGTAGCCATAGCCGTCCTTCAGTGCAGAAAAGTCAAGGTTACACGTCTAGCTATCGGTTAGGATAAAGAACTACGCTGGCACTGCCTTAATTTAAATTAATCCGAGGTGAACCTAGAGACCACGACTCACCCGGTAACTCATGCCTGTATATTCCCGAGCGGGAAAAGTGGGTTGCATGTAAATGCCATTTGGCAAGGCTTGGTACACCGTGCGATAATTCTCCATTCCTGTGAGCAGACACATGCGCGGTCCCAATGTTACCAAGTGCAAAGTCGTTTGCCTGCGTGAACCACACAGCTGTCTCAACCGGGGGGGGGGGGGGGCGGTGGGAATTATACAATGAAGGCCACCCAAACTGACAATCCACTGTTCCTACAATGTCCTTTGACAGGGAATACAGAGAATATAGGTTTACATAGCGTTGCACATGGTTTGCAAAAGGCATGCAAGGTCCATAAATTAAGCCAAGCCAAGTCTTAATTTTAAACTCATCCCAATAATGCATGCCGTC